GCTTCCTAAGGTCCACTTGACTTCACATTCCAGGATGTTTGGCTCTAGGTGAGTGATCACACCATCATGATTATCTGGATCGTGAAGATCTTTTTTGTATAATTCTTCTGTGTATTCTTGCCACCTCTTCTTTATATCTTCTGCTTCTGTTAGGCCCATACCATTTCTGTCTTTTATTGATTCCATTACACATACATATATTCTTTTTCATATTCTTTTCCATGATAGGTTATTACAAGATGCTGAATATAGTTCCCTGTGCTATACAGTAAGACTTTTGTTGTTTATCTATTTTATATGTAGCAGTTTGTATCTGCTAATCCCAAACTCCTAATTTATCCCCTTCCCTTCCCCTTCGGTAACCATAAATTTGTTTCCTATGTCTGTAAGTCTGTTTCTGTTTCATAAATAAGTTCCTTTGTATCATATTTTAGGTTCCACATACAAGTGATATCATATATCTATCTTACTTGTTTGGCTTACTTCACTTAGTATGATAATCTCTAGGTCAATCCATGCTGCTGCAAATGCAAATGGCATTATTTCATTTTTTTATGGCTAAGTAGTGTTCCATTGGGTGTAGATGTAGCACATCTTCTTTATCTATTCATCTGTTCAGGGACATTTAGGTTGCTTCCATGTCTTGGCTATTTAAATAGTGCTACTATGAGCACTGTGGTACATGCATCCTTTTGAATTAGAATTTTCTCCAGATATATGCCCAGGAGTGGGATTGTTGGATCATATGGTAGCTCTGTTTTTAGTTTTTTTTCAAACCCAAATATTGAATAAAGTCCAGTCTGTTTTATTTCTAACCCAAATATTGAATAAAGTCCATGTTTTTAGTTTTTTAAGGAACTTCTATACTGTGCTGTATAGTGGCTGCACCGATTTATATCCCCACAAAAAAAATGTAGGAGGATTCCCTTTTCTCCACACCTTTTCCAGCATTTATTGGTAGCCATTTTGACTAGTGTGAGGTGATACCTCACTGTAGTTTTGATTTGTATTTCTCTGAAAATTAGTGATGCTGAGTATCTTGACATGTGCCTGTGGGCCATCTACAAGGGACAATTTTAAAACAATATTTTATTGTACATTTTTCAAAGCTGAATCCCGTTGTTGGCAAATATTTTTGTCTTATTAACCTCATCTAAACTTTCACTCCAGGAAAAAAGGTAACTTGAAAGAGAAAAATCACATGCAACTATCTCTTTGAATACTTTTTAAATTCAGGAATCCATAGTTACACAAGGGTTAGAGACACAAACTGTGCCCAAAGTGAGCTTGAAGGAACACAAACCATTCTGAACCACTAAGAATTTACTCTCCAAATAAGCGTATGTAACTGAGTCCAGGTGTCTTGGGGACTGACCATATAGATTCCCATTTTAGTTTTTAAATAGAATACAATATTTATTAAAGATAAGTACTCAAATGTGCCAACAGGAAATATGTTTAAGAGTAGCCACAGTAATTGTTTTATACCAGCAGTCCACAAATATGGCAGGTGAAGCTTTGCTCTCTCTCCTGCCACTCGCCTCCTGCTCTGTGGTCTGGTTCCTAACAGGCTCTGGACCGGTCTGGTCTGTGACCTGGGGATTGGGGACCCCTGACTTAAACAATTAAAAAAATTTGATCAGAGTTGCCTGCACATGATGATACCAAAAAATGACTGACTTTTGGTAATTCACTGGCAGTCCAATGGTTAGGATTCTACACTCTCACTGGCCAGGTTCAATTCTCAGTCTTGCAGCACAGCCAAAAAAAAGGAAAGACTTATATAATTTCTCCTCTATGGATAATTTCTTTGTCCTCATTCTCTGTTCAGGATCCAAAGGCCCAGCAATTACAGTTTTTTCCCTTGTCACATTCCCCCTCCCAAAAAGAAAAAACAACTGACTTTCTAGTTGTTTTATTACTGTTTGAAAATTCTCATACACTATATACTCCTTTTTGTTTTCAGTCAGAAGGGATTGGTTCTATGCCTTGCTCTTGATATGTCACTTCTTTTCTTGGAAGAGATGTTTCTCAAACTGTGCTTCCCAGGCCAGCAGCTTGAAGGTAACCTGGGCACATGTAATTAATGAACAGTCTTGGCACCCTGGACCTACAAAATCAACAACTCTGAGAGTGGAGCCCAGCAACCTGTGTTCTAAAAAGCCTTCCGGATGATTCTGATGCCTGCTCCAGTTTAAAACCACATTTAGTATTTTTACATGTGGTTTTACTATCCAGACATGATTGATTAAGTCACTGGCCATTGGTGATTGAACTCGATTTCCATCCCTTCTTTTCCAACCCTATAAATCATGTAGTTAGTTCCTCCGGTGATCAGCTCCCATCTGGAAGCTATCTAGGGACCTGTGTTGGATAATTTTATGTATCTACTAGACTAGGTCATAGGGTGCCCAGATAGTTGGCTAAACATTATTTCTAAATGTCTTAGAGGGTGTTTCTAAATGAGATTAGCAGTTGAATAAGTGGACTCAGTAATGCTATTGCCCTTTGTAAGGTAGTGGGCCTCATCCAGTCCACTGAGGGCCTGAATGGAACCTAAGGTGGAGGAGAGGAGAATTCGCACCTTCATCTGCTTGAATGACTAAGCTGGGACATCGCAATGTCTTCCTACTCTTGAACCAGGATTTATACAATTGGTTTTACTGGTTCTCATAATAAATCTCTCCATATGTATCTATATAATGTGTGTATATATATCTATATATACATATAGATATTTTCCTACTATATATATTTCTCCTATTAGTTCTTTCTCTCTTTTTTTTCTTTCTTTTTCTCTGTAGAACTCTAATATAGAACTCCACCATGAGTCACAACCTTAGAGTAAACTCAGGTATAGTCAAAAGGGTTCATTATGAATTTAAAAAGAGCCTCTTTCAGAAAATTCTAAGGGTTTTAAGGGCTCTGTGCCAGGTAGTGGGGACAAAGACCAAATATATAAATATATGTAATACCACATCTTCATAAAGGATACCTTGTCAGATTCCCTTGAGAGTGACCTTGTTAGTAGGCAATAGTGACAGGTTCACAGGAGAATCTTGTAATCAGATCTCACAGCCTCATTTCTATGAGTGGTATCCCTCTGGTTTGTCCTGAGGACAGTGAGGTTTGTGTTTGTACCCACCGCTTAGCTCTGGGAACACAGTAGGCACAGGCCTTGTTGTCAAAGAAAGAGATAGACACACACCTGGCTGCAGTCACAGGATGTATTCCAGTCAACTGCTGGATTTGGAGGCCACGACCCCCATCTGTGGGGTAAGCAGGACCTTCAGCAAGGACTGGTGGATGCCTCCCGATGGAGAAAGGAGAGAGCCAAATGAGCAGAGGCAAGAGAATTGAATACATGGTCAGGGCCAGAGCTGGAGTGTTGGCAGGGGTTGACTTGGCATGGCCATGTCATGGCCCCATATCAAGGGCTCTAGGAGCCTTGTCATCAGCAATACTGATTGAAGAAGGGAGCTCTAGGGGCTTCCCTGGGGGCTCTGTGGTGGAGAATCTGCCTGCCAATGCAGGAGACATGGGTTCAGTCCCTGGTCTGGGAAGATCCCACAGGCTGCAAGGCACCTAAGCTGGTGTGCCACTGAACCACAACTACTGAGACTGCGCTCTAGAGCCCAGGAGTTACAGCTACCGAGCTCTTGTGCTACAACTACTGAGCTCTCATGCTACAACTACTAAAGCATGCAAGCCTAGAGCCTGTGCTCTGAAATGAGGGAAGTCACAGCAATGAGAAGACCTCACACAGCAACTAGAGAATAGCTCCTGCTCCCTGAAACTACAGAAAAAGTCTGTGCAGCAAAGACCCAGCACAACCACAAATAAATAAGTAAATAAAATTATAAGAAAAAAAAAAAAAGGAGCTCTAGAGACTTGAGGTGTTTTTTTCCCTTAAGATCACCCTGGGAACAAGACAGAGGGTAGACTTGGGGGACAGAACCATCATCAACTCTTTCTTAGTCTCGACTGCATTAACCTCTTGGTCTCCAGGCTTCCACCCAAATCATTCTGGGCACAATGGTCAGAGACTATCTTGAAGTATAAATGTGACCAATCTATCCATCACAACCGTCAGTAGCTTCTCAAAGCCCCCAAGTACTCCACATGGTTTGCAGAGTCATGCATCCTGCCACCCCTACCCACCTGTTCTGTCTGATGTTCCATGTCCCTCTCCTCCCCAAGGCCCACAATCTGGCCTTTCAGTTCTTGGAAGGTGCAGAAGCTGTCTCCTCTCCCAGAAACCTTTTTCCTTGCTCCCTCTTTTCTCTGGCTCCTCTTCTTTATGGTTTCAGCTTAAATGTGGTTTCAGCTTAAATGTGGCTGCAGAGAGGTCTTAACCAACTGCTGTGCCTAAAAGAAGTGGCCCCATTATTTTGTACCACTTAGGCCAATTTATGTATTGCTACTAGTTGATGTATTCCAGGAGTCGGTCAACGTTTTCCCCAAAGATCCAGATGGTAAATATTTCAAGCTTTGTAGGCTCTGGATCTGCCCTGCAGCCTGAAAGCACTCACATATGAATACTAAAAGGAATGAGTAAGGCTGCGTTCTGATAAAATTTTTTTATGAAAACTGAATCTAATACAATTTTCACATGTCACGAAATATTATTCTTGTTTCTTCTTCTTTTCCCGACCCCCGGCTCTTTAAAAATGTAAAAACCATTCGTAGCTCCAGGTTGTCCGAAAATATATGGGCGGGGTGGCCCGTGGACAGTACTTTATTGGTTGTTTATTACTTGCGGACTCCTTCTGACTCCGCAATGGAGTGTGTTCCGCAGCAGCGAGCACCGGCAGAGCCGGAGCCGTGTCGGTTCAGGTACCAACACGCACCTACGCTGCACTTGCAGCTCCATGGCACCCAGAGGCCCGCACGGGTTAAGCCAGAGTGGGCGGGGTCTGCGATCGCCGTACGCGGGAGGCGGAGCCTTGGGGAAGGGGCGGGTCGAACGCAGGCTTCCGGCGGAAGAGCGCGAGAGCAAGATGGCCACTACCAAGCGAGTGTTGTACGTGGGTGAGCAGGCTTGGGCGCTAGGCGGAGGCTGGGCGAACCGGGCCGCGAGTGGGTCGTGGCGTGGAGCTGGACAGGTCTCCGGACGCGAGAGGCGGCGAGCAGCTGTCTAGGTGGCATCTGTGGCGGTATTGCTTGGCCTCAGGGAGTGAGCCTGAGACATAACTTTAACTGCACCTCTCTTCGAAGCCCGCCAACCTCTAACAGGAACCTCTTCATCACCTGAGAACGGGGCGATGGTGGGAGGAATATTAGGGACCTCTGAATCCTCGCGTCCATTCATTTTACATTCACCGCAGCGATGGCTCAGCCCCCACTCTTTTAAGGAAAGAGTTCCCAGGCTAGCCGGCTAAAAATGAGAATAACCTCAATAGCACAGTTTGATGAGAGCTTTGGTGGGGACGGACAGTGGTGACATAGGCCTCGGTGTGGGGAGAAATGACCCCTCTATCTGGAGAGGTGAGAGCAAGTTTTCAGGCTGCGGTGACGCCGGTGATGAGCTGGAATTAGGCAGGTAGCGAAGTAGGAGCAAGTGTGTTTACTGAAAGGGAGCAGCTCGAGCAAAAGCCCAAAGGTGTAAAATAGCCTAACACTTGGAGGCGAATGCGTCGTTTTGCGGGGAAGCAAAGGGTAAGAGGCTGAAGAAGTGGGCAGGGCCTTGTGAACAGTGCTAAGTTTGTACTTTATCCGGAGGATAAAGTACTTTAAGCAGGGAAGTGAAGAGTTAAAGTCTGTACGTTCCCAGGATGGTACTGGTTGGCTTTGTGGAGGAGAAGGGAGGCAGTTATGAAGCTGTTGAGGGACTCTCCGGGCTAGATGAAGGTCTGAAAGGAGAGTGAAGAGTGTGCTTCATAAGTGTGAAGGAGCAAATGAGAGGGATGTTTATGAACCCAGGACTGAATGGAAAGATTCCTTCCCTGGCAATGGCATGCTAATTTTACAGCCGGGACTTCTCAACAGACTGGAGGACAGTAGTTCAGAAGGCACTTGGTGTCTTTGCAGGTGGACTCGCGGAGGAGGTGGATGACAAAGTTCTCCATGCTGCTTTTATCCCTTTTGGAGACATCACGGATATCCAGATTCCTCTGGATTATGAAACAGGTGAGTCGTCTTAGTGTTTCTCATGCCCAAAATCCTCCTGCTAGGAAAGAACTTAACATTTTTGTAAGTCATACTACAGTACGTTCTAAATATGCTTTGGGCAGCCTGACAGTGATCTTTATGCAGAAGGACTTTTCTGAGGCTTGTGGTTGTGAGCTGCAGTATGCTTTTCAGATCCCATATATTGCATTTGAAGTAAGACAAGCTTTTCAGTTAGCCAGTAGGAAGATTGGTTTCGAGCTGTATGGAGATCTGTTGTTTCAAACTGCCTGCCAGGCACTCTCCTACAGCGGCTCTCTTCTTGGCAGCTGTGCTGTTAAATAGGGTAGCAGGAAAGCCCAGCTTCAACAATGGGGCCTCAGCTTCTTTGCACCTGGAGAACTTTTCCTTCAATTAGTATCACAGTTGCAGTTCAGTTTTCTGTCTTAACCTTTGTTGTCATTTTTAAGATTGGAGTTTTAGGCCCAGCTCTAGAGTACACAACTAGTTTAGAAATCCCACTAGGGGATCATAGAGAGGGAATTTTGGGAGACCCCTGTGAGTTAATTGATCACTCAAGAAAGCCGGCTTGCTTAGCAACAAAACCAAGCAGCCCTGCTTAACAACAGCACTATATAGCAGTGACACCTGCATTCTGCTGGTTGAGGTCAGTAAGTTAATGATCCCTTGGCCATGCTCCTGTGCACACACTAAAAAATATAGGGGAAAGGTAACATTATACTGAAACCTGAGATGATTTACCATATGAGCCTTCTTGCTCATTTCCATAGCACCATGACAGTCCCAGTGGGGCCATACAGGGACAAAAACTCCCCTACCCAGCATGTAGGAAGAATTAATGATGGGAGACTCAAAGAACGAGGAAGAGGGTAGTCTTCTCCTCCTCCTCACTTTTCTTTAATTATAAAGGTATAGCCCAGGACTTCACTGGTGATCCAGTGGTTGGGAATCTGCCTGCCAATGCAGGGAAAATTCCACATGCCTCGTGGCAACTGAGGCAGTGCTCCATAACTACTGAACTGTGCTCTAGAGCTTGTGCTCCACAACAAGAGACGCCACTGCAATGAGAAACCCACGCACTGGAGAGTAACCCATGCAACTAGAGAGTAGCCCCGAGGCGCCACAACTAGAGAAAGCCTCCATGCAGCAACAGAGACCCAGCACAGCCAAAAATAAATAAATAAATGAATTTTAAAAGTAAAAAAATTAAGTTGCACCCCACTAAGTTCTTGTCACAGCTCCCTCTTGCCTGCCTCCTTGTATCTCTCACAAGCGTCCTATACTAATAAAGTACTCTTCCATGTCGCTTTGCCTCTCAGTGAATTCTTTTCGCAAGGAGATAAAAGAACCTCAGCTTCATTAAAGCCTGAGATTGTTTTGTGCTTTCAGCAACCTATGCTCTGCTGAGTCCTGAGACGAGTTGTGTGACTTCAGCTCTGTCATCAACCTTGTATATGGATTTAACCTCCCTGGGACCTTTATATGTATAAAAACAATAAGGTTATGTTGACTCTGTAAGGTTAATTGGTTACTTAAACTAATGGTGTTGTGCACTTGGCCCTTCTATTTGGCGTTGGTTAGATTACGTTTTGCTGAGGATCAAATCTGAGCATCCTTACCCAGGTTTTAGGATTCATGACTTATACACAGTTGATGTTCAGAATGTATGCTTGGAATGAATGAGTGATAGCTTAAATGACTTCATTTTTCTAGCTGCCTTGCATGCAAAGGTTAAGATTTGATTTGGCTTTGGTAAAGAATGCTGCTTTTAAAGATTAAAAGTATAGTTCATTATTTAGTTATGTCCACTACAAAACGGGCTTCCGTGGTGACTCAGATGGTAAAGAATCTGCCTGCAATGCGGGATAATATCCTGCGTTTGGTCCTTGAGTTGGGAACATCCCCTGGAGAAGGCAAAGGCTACCCACTCCAGTATTCTGGCCTGGAGAATTCCATGGACAGAGGAGCCTGGTAGGCTATAGTCCATGGGTTCACAAAGAGGCGGACATGACTGAGTGACTTTCACTCGCTACAAAACAGTTTAATGTTGCTTGAAATGTTATTTAAACTAGAAAGAATCAGAGTAAGATGCCTTTTTCCTAAATAGTGATGGTGTAGAATTTCTAGTAAATGGATAAGGCATGTGACTGACTTCACTTTCTTTGTGACCACCTGCTTCTTCCCATTGTCCAACATGATAATTGCTTGATATTGTCTACCTTTTTTCAGAAAAGCACCGAGGATTTGCTTTTGTTGAATTTGAGTTGGCAGAGGTGAGAAAATTCTGTTATCTATGTTAAGTCTTTGGCTTGTTATTGTTACTGATTACAGAGGGAGCTGTTCTTCATTTGGGGTTGGGTTTTTGGGCCTCATGCTGATGCTTCCAGAGAGGTGAGAACCACGGTTTGAAGGAAAGCTGCCTTCACTTAATGAAACCATGCGCTGTGATTAACATCACAGACCTGCTAGGTCCTGCCCCTCTTGTTCTGCAGAACTCCTGCAGTCCTGCTCTTTGAGCATCTTTCCCTGGCAGCACTGGTGATACTTTGTCTTCCACCAAATGGCAAATAGCTGAAGTCAGCCAGGAAATGCACTCTGTTAGACACATGCAACAAGGGTGAGGAAGAAAAAGAGAACTTTTTTTGTTGGATTGTTCTTTTGTCATTTTACCAAGTGTGTGTTTATACACTACAAGAAGCATTTGACTGCAAACCTAAATTTATACCTTGTCTTTTTGGCAGGATGCTGCAGCAGCTATTGACAACATGGTAAGGCTGGGAATCCTGCTTCTTACAGAAGTTGCTTTTTGGTGGTACAGAGGGCAGTTAGTTCTACATTGGGTTTGCTAAACCTCCAAAGTTACAAGGTTGCATGAGGAAGTACGTACAGATTGTCATCCTGTGAAAATATTCACTGTGAATTGATCACTTACAAAATTGTCCTTTCTCAAATACTTTTCTCCACTTGATAATAATGTAAAGGCTAACCATCCTCATTGACCAGTCTCTCACTGACTGCCTGTGTCTAGGATAGGAAATTGCAAACAATGCAAAGTGATTGCATGGTGAAATTGCATATTTTACAAAAGAGGCAGGGTTTCATGAAGTGTTAACAATTGAGAAGAGAAATTTGATAAGGATAATGATAGGATGTGCTACTGATCCAAGTGATTGGGACAGCCTGGAGAGCTCCTTGGGGCAATGATGCGGCTCTTGAGTGTGTGTTCCCTCTTCAGGATACTTAGGATTTTCACATCAGATAAGAAATGCAAAGATAATCTATACTGTTGATAGGATTTTGTTGAAAAAGATACTGCAGATGTATAAACATCCATTATATCTCTGTTCTTCAAATTAGGCCATAGTTTAAAAGCTGAATTTTAACTATAAGAAATTTATTGTCATTAGTTTTAATTTCATCATAGTATATTCCCAATTTTTTTCCCCTTCACATTTTACCACGAAATTTTCTTCACTGCCTTTAAGTGATTTCACATTGAGTGACCTTTCCTGGTACCAGTTATCTTAGGGTAATAAGGCTTTCCTTTATTCTTGCTCTCTGTTTCCCATTCATCAAATGTTTTCCTCAGCTCTCAGAACAAGATCACTTCTCATTGCTTAAGGCTGACCTTGACTTTTGAAAACGAACTCAGGTACTTGGACATTGCATTTATCCTTGTAATTTCAGAGTGCTTCGAACACAGTGTCACTTTTGTTAGCAGAGGTCATTACTAGTATTGAAAGAAAGGAGGTCACATACTACTGCATATAAACTAAATATACAACAAGATCCTGCTGTATAGCACAGGAAACCTGTTATTTAATATCTTGTAATAACCTATAATGGAGAAGAATCTGACAAAGGAGATACATATATATGTGTGTGTATATATATATATATATACACACACATATATATAATGTATAACTGAATCAGTTTATTGTACACCCAAAACATTGTAAATCAGCTATGCTTCAATTTTAAAAAAGAAGGGGACTTCCCTGGTGGCCCAGTGGTTAAGAATCCACCCTGCAATGCAGAGGACACAGATTCAATCCCAGGTCAAGGAACTAAGATCCCACATTCCACGGAGCAACTAAGCCTGTACTGCAGCTAGAGAGTCCATGGGTCACAAGAAAGACCTCATGTGCTGCACCTAAGACTCAATGCAGCCAAATAAGGAAATAATAAATTTAAAAGAAAAGAGAAAGGAACTATATGATGACTCCTGGGAGGAAATTCTCTGCAGCCCACGGGCTGCTTTGTGGCAGGTGCATAACTTGCTGTTAGGGGATCAGGGATTAAGGGACAACAAATCATGAACTTGTCTCAGATGTATCGGAAGTAAATGGAAAGTGTCTGACTTTCTTTTAACCTAACAGTTTAAACAACTGGATTTTCACACTTTTCAGAATGAATCTGAGCTCTTTGGACGGACAATTCGTGTCAACTTGGCAAAACCCATGAGGATTAAAGAAGGCTCTTCCAGACCAGGTGAGTGGGAATAATACAGATGCCCCCTCACACCTGCTAGTTTGGCCTTGCTTGCCCTCTTGTCCCAGTTTTACTGAAAGTAGGCACTGAATGCTTCTCTGGCATGGTTTACATTGGCAAAGGACCTCTGCCACCTTTGTGGGGAAATAGTGTGAGCTTCTCAGCCACACCAGAGTAATTGTTTCCTTTATGAGAGAAGCCGTGCCTGATTGCTCATCTGTCCCAGCTTTCTCATTCCTGGCAGGTTCTGGCAGGGGCTGCACCTTTCCCTGGGGCATAGCCTTTTCACATAGCCCTGCTAAGAGCTTGGAGAAGGAAATAGCAACCCACTCCAGAATTCTTGCCTAGAGAATCCCATGGACAGAGGAGCCTGGGAGGCTATAGTCCATGGGGTTGCAAAGAGTCAGACACGACTAAGCGACTAACACACAGAAGAGCTGGACTTCAGGGCTGGCAAAGATGGGAACTTGCCTGACGCATGTGGCTTCCCAAAGTGGAGACCTCTGGCCGAGAGGGCCACAGAATATGTTCTTCTTCGCTGACCAGAGCACCTACTTAGCAGCTAGCTGATGGCTTGAATTTGTTCTCATCTGCTCGCTTCTTTCTTTTCAGTTTGGTCTGATGATGACTGGTTGAAGAAGTTCTCTGGGAAGACTCTTGAGGAGAACAAAGAGGAGGAGGGGTCAGAGCCCCCCAAAGTGGAAACGCGGGAGGTGAGATTGCAGGCTGGCACTTCCCCTAGGAGACCTTGTTTTTTTAGGTTTTTATGGAAATCTGCAAATGCACATGCAAAAGTAGAGAGAATGAAAAGTGAACTTACGGTGTTCTGGTGGGGTTGGTAATGAGTGAGCTGAAGGGAAGCTTTAAGCCTCTCGCCCTTGTGCTCTGCATGAGGAGCTTCTCAGCTCTGCTGGGTTCTGTTCTGTGATTGTTACTGAAGAGGAGGAAGTGTGGGGTGAGGAAGGGCGGTGTGTGGGCCTCTGCACCCTCCTCGTCAGTCCCCCTCCTTCACGCACGTGTTGGGCTCCTTGCTCACCGTCTTCCTGTCCTGAGGCAGGGCAGGGTGGGGGTCCCTTCCCTTCAGCCTGGGCACAGGTTTGAGGTCCTCCCTTCCAGGGAACCTGCCTTGGCACTTTATTCTGATTCTCACTGCACCTCTCTAACGATTGCCTCTCTGGCTGCCCCACCCCCTTGTAACTGGTGTTCCGGGTTTCTTTCTTGACTAGTGGTCTCTCTCCCGTCTCTGCCAAAACAGCAGCAGTCACTCTGATCTTTCACAGCCTCTCATGTGCTGTTGGACTCTCCTGGCCTCTGTTTCTAGCCCTGAGCTTCAGACATTTCTGCTGCAAGTCTCGCCCTCCCTCCCCTAATCTTGTTCATTCTGTGTTCTCCAACTCACTAACTTGCCACTTTCCATCCACACTGACACAAGCAGCAAGTACAGAGGCTAAGCAGAGTGCCTTCAAGAGGAGTATAAAGCAAGGTCCCGGTCACCTCCATTGTGAGCACTTTGGTGCTCCTTGTTTCCGTTGCAGCCAGCCTGTACGCACGCAGGGCTGCGCACAGAGGGAGGGGATGGTGTTACAGAAGTGGGTCCGTTTAACTGGATTAAGGTGGGTGCCCTTGAGCTGGGGTGTGAAGGTGCTGAGAGTTGCCTGTTTGGGGCCAGAGAAGTGTTGTTTGTGACCACAGGGAGGGTGAAAGTGAGGCAGCCTCATGTGTCTGAGGGAGTGTGAGGAGATGACACGCCTGCAGGGTGGGGCTCCAGGTAGATGGTGCTGAAGTCTCCTGTCACTGGATGTCCAGCCGGGGTCATGGCTGTGGCCTTCACCTTCTTCTGCAGCCCCAAGGCCTTCCCTGTCGCCACCCTGTTCAGCTTGCTCACTGTAGTTGGGTTCTCAGGTGTGTTCATTCACACTCGCTCTCCTAGTTGGGGAGTCAGAGCGTTCTCTCTGACCTGGCCGTTTCTCCTGCATCTAGGGAGAGCCTGCTGTAAAAAAGGCCCGGTCAAACCCTCAGGTGTACATGGACATCAAGATTGGGAACAAGCCGGCTGGCCGCATCCAGATGCTCCTGCGTTCAGACGTCGTGCCCATGACAGCAGGTAAGCGGTTTTTTCTGTAATACAAGTGAATGCGTATTCATGGTTGGTTTGTTTTTTAAAGTAAACACACACACACACTCCAACAGTATTGAAGGCGATAAATTGAAAACCTGAGTCTTTGTTCCTTCTCCACATTTAATCGTACTCTTCAGAAGTAACTACCGATAACTAACAACTTCTTGAACATTTTTTCATTTGTTAAATATTGAATTCTGTTTATTCTTCTTTTGATCTAAATATTATTATGTAGACATATAGTTAGGAATGTCAGTTTCATAGTTTGGGAAAACACAGCAGTGCCCCGCCCCATGCTGTCCTCCTGCCCTACCGCATCCCCCAGCACCGTATGCTGCTTCTCAGAGGCAGCCAGTTTCAACTCTTAACTCATTCTTTTGGTTTTTAACCTCTGTATTTGTAGATGACAGATGTATGTTGCTACTTTCTGGGGGTTTTTTTGTTTTAATATCTTTTCATTTTAGACATCTATTGGCTTCCCACTTGAGAAGTTAAGAAACTAGCTTTTTAAATCACCTTCCCAGCTCCTTCATCCTCCTCATGTTGTTACCATAATTTTGGTTAGGTCACAGGTTATTCTGACTATGTAAGTGTCATATTGTGATAGCTTCTTTTCATACATAGCACTTTGTTTTCCCTGGAATTCATAATTATCTTGTTTTCATATTTGCTTAGTATTCTGTACATATATTCCTGAGCTTTCCCAAATTTTCCTGCTTTTATAAATCTCCATCATGTTCAAACATCAGATATTTTGTCAGTTTCACTTATTCCTCCCTGGAGCCCTCTGACCTCCCCCGGCCTGGACCAGCTGCCTTCCAGGCCCATCTCATAGCTTTTGTCGTGGAATCTCCTGCTTTCACTTCCTATGTTGGAATGTCTGTTGTCTTTTTTGATTTATTCCCTCATTTTGGTAGAGGACATAATTCTGTAGCTTTTGGAGAAAAGAGCCTGGAGGGTCAGGTTTTTGAGACTGATGTATGAAAATTTCTACTTTCCCATCTGATAGTTTGGATGTAGAATTCTAGAGAAGTCTAATGTCATTCTGATTCTTGGTCCTTTATACAAAACTTTTTTTTTCTGTCTAGAGCTGAGCTGTCCGAATATGGTAGTCACTGTCCACATGTGACTCTTTAAGCTTAAATTAATTCAAGTTAAATAAAATTAAAATTCAACTTCTTCAGTGATTCAGATGCCTAAAAGCTGTTAGATAACACTGGTCTAGAGGCTTGGAGGGTGTCTGTGTCCTGTGTTCTGAAATACTGTCCTCTTGGAATAGATCTGCTTCCATCCATCCTGCTGGATATTCAGTGGGTCCTACTGTATTGATTTCTCTTTCTGCTGTAACAAATTATCACAGACTTAGCAGCTTATAAGAACATAAATTTATTGTCTTAACTGTTCTAAAGGCCAGAAGTCCCAACACAGGTCTCACCAGGTTAAAGGAAGGTGGTAGCTGGGTTACCACATTCCTTATTGGAAGCTCTATGGGTAGATCTGTTTCCAGAGACAGTCAGCTTGTTGACAGAATTCAGTTTCCTGTATCTCAGATGGAGGTACCCATTTCCTTCTTGGCTGCCAGCTGAGGGCTGGTCCCAGCTTCCAGAGGCTTGTGACCGCCTTCCTTTGTCATCACAGCCAGCAGTGATTGATTCAGTCCCTCTCATGTTTTGAATCGCTTGCCTCCTTTTCCATCCACTTTTTTTGGGGGGTGGGTTGTGGGGGAGACGGAATATAATTGCTTTACAATGTTTTGTTAGTTTTTGCTGTACAACAGTCCATCCACTTCTAACTATCTCTTTCTGCCTTTAGCTGGGAAGGGTTCTCTGGTTATAGATTTGTGATTATATTAGGCCCACCGGGGTAATCTAGGCCACTCTCCCTATCTCAGTGTCCGTAACCTTAATCACATCTGCACAGTACCTTCTGCTGTGAGCAGCATATTCTCAGGTTCTAGGAATTGGGACATAGACATCTTTCGGGAGCCATTATCCTGCATACCACACCCATCAATTAGGACAGACCTATCTTTTAAAAACTTTTCCTTGAATTATTTCTTTACTTTTATCCCTTCTGATTTTTCTCTACTCATATTTTGGAATCTTTCTAAATGTTCTTTTTCATAGCATCCTGTGCTTATTTCAGGCATGTACTATCATTTCAACTTGAGAGATTAGTATACTAAAATTTCTTTTTCCTATACAGCTTATATTTGAAATTACTTTTTTCCGTTTTTTTTCCTGTTTGTTTTTCTTTGTTTGTTATTGATCTGTTTGCTTGTTTCAGTCTTTGCTTTTCACATTAGATGCCTTTCTCATATTTAAGACTAGGGTCCTTAAAATCTGCTTGGAAACTCCCTGGACATTGGTAAGGCTTGCTGACTGAGGCTTCCTCTATGAGGTGATTCTTTCTGTTGGACTCCGGATATCAGTATCCCTGAGTTACAGTCTCTTGGACAGAGCAGAGGCCACAGAGAAGACTCTAGCCTCTTGCTAATGGTCCTGTGTCCAGTTGTTTGCCATCATGGAGGGTGGGAGGTTGTGGGAGCAGTATATGAACTTCACTGAATCTCCATTTGTCTCCATACCTCAACCCTCAGGTATGTGTAGAGCATCCCAGACCAGAGACCCTCTGCTTTAACCTGCTGGAGGGTAGACCTCCCACCAGCAGCCAGGGCTAGGGAAGAGAGAGGATCTGGGGGCTAGCTACTTTTAAGTGAGCTTTCAACCAGACTTATTGCTTTTAGAACCATCTTCATCCTTGTCACTGAGTTTTTGGAATTTCTGCAGCAGAAATCAAATTGCTTCTTGGCTTTATCAGCTTAAGCTTCAGCTTTGTTAGGTCTGCTCTGTCGGTTATGGCTCATCTGTTTGTCTTCTAGGTCCCAAAGATTTTTAGTTGCTGTTGTCTCTACTCTCACTCCTTTTTAGGGGATAGTCATTTTATCCATTTTTTAAGTGTATGATTTACTGGCATTAATTGCATTCACAATGTTATACAACCATCACCACTATCTACTCTCAAAACTTTTGCACCACCCCTAATAGAAACTATACAGTCCATGGGATTCTCCAGGCCAGAATACTGGAGTGGGTAGCCTTTCTCTTCTCCAAGGGATCTTCCCAACCAAGGGATGGAACCCAGGTCTCCCACATTGCAGGTGGATTCTTTACTGTCTAAGCCACCAGGAAAGCTCAAGAGTCCTGGAGTGGGAGCCTCTCCCTTCGCCAGTGGATCTTTCCGACCCAGAGATCAAACTGGGGCCTCCTGCACTGCAGGCGGGCTCTTTACCAGCTGAGCCACCAAGGAAGCCCGGTAGAAACTCGGGACTCGTTAAACAGTCGCTCCCCTTTCTCCTCTACTCGCAGCTAATCTATTGTCTGTCTCTCTGAATTTACTATTCTAGACATTTCATATAAATGGAGTCATAACAGTAGTTGTCCTTTTATGTCTGACTTATTTCACTTAGCATTGTTTTTTCAGGGGTCTTTTAGGCATCAGTATGGCTGGGTAATATCCCATTGTCTGGATAGTCCACAATTTGTTTCTCTCTTTTTTTTTTTTTTTTTCCATTTATTTTTATTAGTTGGAGGCTAATTACTTTACATCATTGCAGTGGTTTTTGTCATACATTGAAATGAATTAGCCATGGATTTACATGTATTCCCCATCCCGGTCCCCCCTCCCACCTCCCTCTCCACCCGATCCCTCTGGGTCTTCCCAGTGCACCAGGCCCGAGCACTTGTCTCATGCATCCAACCTGGGCTGGTGATCTGTTTCACCCTAGATAATATACATGTTTCGATGCTGTTCTCTTGAAACATCCCACCCTCGCCTTCTCCCAGAGTCCACAAGTCTGTTCTATACATCGGAGTCTCTTTTTCTGTTTTGCATATAGGGTTATCGTTACCATCTTTCTAAATTCCATATATATGTGTTAGTATACTGTAATGGTCTTTATCTTTCTGGCTTACTTCACTCTGTACAATGGGCTCCAGTTTCATCCATCTCATTAGAACTGATTCAAATGAATTCTTTTTAATGGCTGAGTAATATTCCATGGTGTACATGTACCACAGCTTCCTCATCCATTCGTCTGCTGATGGGCATCTAGGTTGCTTCCATGTCCTGGCTATTATAAACAGTGCTGCGATGAACATTGGGGTGCACGTGTCTCTTTCAGATCTGGTTTCCTCGGTGTGTATGCCCAGAAGTGGGATTGCTGGGTCCACAATTTGTTTCTCTACTCATTTGTTGATGGACACTTGAACACTGGCTCCACTTGCCAGTTACTATGGATAATGATACTGTGAACATTTGTGTACAAACAAGTATTTAAATCCCTGTTTTCAATTATTTTGGATGCCTCCCTAAGACTGGAAATGCTGGGTCATATGGTAATTCTAGTTTGACTTTCTGAGGAACTACCAAATTACTTTCTACAGTGGCTGCACCATTTTCCATTCTCATAAACAATGTATAAGCGCTCTAGTTTCTTTACATCCTCACTTGTTTTCTGTTTATCATAGCCATCCTAGTAGTTGGGAAGTGGGATCTCATTGTGGTTTTGATTTGTATTCCCCTAATGACTAATGCAGAGAAGGCAATGGCACCCCACTCCAGTACTCTTGCCTGGAAAATCCCATGGGTGGAGGAGCCTGGTAGGCTGCAGTCCATGGGGTCGCTAAGGGTCAGACACGACTGAGTGACTTCACTTTCACTTTTCACTTTCATGCATTGGAGAAGGAAATGGCAACCCACTCCAGTGTTCTTGCCTGGAGAATCCCAGGGACGGCGGATCCTGGTGGGCTGCCGTCTACGGGGTTGCACAGAGTCGGACACGACTGAAGTGACTTAGCAGCAGCAGCAGCAGTGACTAATGATGTGAAGCATCGTTTCATGTGCTTAGGGGTAGGGGCCATTTGTTTATCTTCTTTGAGGAAATGTCTGTGCAAGTCTTTTGCATATTTATTTACTAGGTTGGTTTTTTGTTGTTGATTTGTAGGAGTTCATTTTATATTCTGGATGTTAAACACTTAAGAGATATGATTTGCAAATATTTTCTTCCATTCCCTAAGTTGCCTTTTCATTTTGTTGAGAGTGTCTGTCCTTTGATGTCCAAAAGTTTTTCATTTTGATGAAGTCTCATTTGCCAATTTTTTGTTACTTATACTTTCAGTGTTGCAGTTAAGACATTGCCAAGTGCAAAGTCACAAAGACTTGACCTGTCTTTTTCTCTAAGATCCTTTTTGGTCTTTCTTTTTAAAAATTGCTTTACCACCAGTTTAGGGTGGATAAGATCTAGAATGCATGTTTTCATGCCTTCTTTAACTAGACTCCTTTCTAATCCTTCAAGATAGTCAGTATCTCAAAGGTTTATAATGAACATGCCATATTTTGAAATGAAAATATGAACATTAAGCAAATATAGTTTTTCAGAGTCTAGTTAGAGATCTCGTTGTTTGGGGGTTTTTTGACCATGCCCCCGAGGCAAGTGGGATCTTAGTTCCCCAACCAGGGATTGAACCTGTACTCCTTCCTTGGAGTCATGGAATCTTAACCATTGGATCACCAAGGAAGTCCCCCCATCGGTTTGTTTTTTGACTCAGGCGCCTTTTCCTTTCTCGGCCCCAGAGAATTTCCGCTGCCTGTGCACCCACGAGAAGGGCTTTGGCTTCAAGGGCAGCAGCTTCCACCGCATCATCCCCCAGTTCATGTGCCAGGGCGGTGATTTCACCAACCACAACGGCACCGGGGGCAAGTCCATCTACGGGAAGAAGTTTGATGATGAAAACTTTATCCTCAAACACACAGGACCAGGTGGGATCTGATTGGTGGATGATGGTCGGTGGGCTGGGCTAGGGCAGGATGACTGCGCAGGAGTGGGTGACAGGCTGTGGTTCTGGTCTCCTCCAGACCCCCACCCAGGGAGCAGAGGAGAGGCCTTCGGCCTGGCTGGAGCGGAGCGAGCTTGTTTCCGTCTGAGTGCTGCCCGACCCCCACTGTGTCCACAGCTGTGGGCGTAGCGTGAATTTTGTGGTCAGCGATTATAAGCCCGCTCTTCTTCCTTCAACCCCTCTGCCTGCCTCTCTCTGTCAGACTCTCTAGTAAAAAATTTCAGTGGTTGGTTCCCCAGCAACTAGAAAAAAATACAGAACTGTACTGATATTTAAGACTGCAGTTCTTTAGGGGGCCCTCGGCAGCCGCACTGGACAGAGCTTCCTAGTTCATGCTCAGTCCTGGTCAGAGACGACAGTGGCCTCCTTCGCTCCTGAAACCTCCACTTCACCCTCTGTCCCCGCTGATGCTTGGCCTCCTGCATCTGTCCACACCTGCCTGCACCGACTTCCCCACCAAGTACAGGGGCTGAGCCACCTCCCCTCTGCTCATGACCCGGACCCTCCCCACCCTGCGCCCTTTGGAACCTGGTTCTGCACTTGCGCCCCGCCACTGCCTCATGTGATGCCTGTCCCCTGCTCTGCTCGATCAGCCCATCAGCACAAAAGCACACAGTGTCGATCTTTGACTCATGTTCCCCCCTCAGCTATCACCCATGCCTCTGGTCCCCTTTTTCACCAAAACTTCTTGCAAAAGTTGTCTAGACTCCCTGCCTTTGGTTCTCTCTGTCCCCTTCTAGTCTGACTTCCAGCGCCACTGGTCCACTGAAGCCACTCTTCTCCACCCGGCTCATAGTCAGCTCCTGGTCCCCGTCCCATTCGCTCTCCCATCTGCAGGTGCAGGGCAGCATCTGCACTCCCCCCTCCATGCCCAGCAGAGTCGGGGGAGCTGACAGGCGCTTCTCCCCCCCAGGCCTGCTCTCCATGGCCAACTCCGGCCCAAACACCAACGGCTCCCAGTTCTTCCTGACATGTGACAAGACAGATTGGCTGGACGGCAAGCATGTAGTGTTTGGGGAGATCACGGATGGCCTGGATGTCTTGCGGCAGATTGAGGTAGGTGGCTGCCGGGGCCCCTGGGGCACAGCCGTGAATGTGGGAGAGCTGAATCGGGGACCTGGAGAGAGAGAGACCACAACAGGCTGCTGTCGGGGGTGGGGGTGGGATGGGCAGAGGGGCGGGTATCCCTGAGCCACCCTCAACTCTCCACCCTCCTGCCCCTGGTTCCTCCTCTTCTTTTCGGCCCGCAAAGGCCCAGGGCAGCAAGGACGGGAAGCCCAAGCAGAAGGTGATCATCTCCGACTGTGGGGAGTACGTGTGAGAGGGGAGCTGTCAACCCGGGGACCGGCGCCCGAGGTGTCCCGTTGGCAGCGAGCAGGGCTTCGTGTCCTGGCCCTTCCTCGGGGTCAGCGTGGGGCAGCTCCTCTGCAGGCACAGCCTGCGCCTCTGGTCGTCCTCAGGTGTGGCCTTGGACTCGGCCGCCCTCCCCACCGTGGACAGCTGGGCATGGCCTTTCCAGGCCTTTGCCGCCAGGGCTTCTCCTGGGCCCACCTGTGTGACTCCTGGACATTTTCTTCTGGTAAATAAATCCTAGTTTTTGTACTGCTGCCTCCAGCTAGTTCCTGGGAGTTGTCAGATGTCGCCTGTCAGGGCTGAACTGTCCCCCGAGACGGGTTGGTAGGAAAAGGCATAATCTCTTCCCCACAGCTTTTCTTTTCTTCCCTTGGACGATTCCCTGAGATGCTGGGTGATATATCTTCAGGCCAGATACCCTTGTCAGACCACCGTCAAGACCATGGGCATCAAAGACAGTGGAAAAATTCCTGTCTTCAGTGCCTCCACTCCCACATCACACTGCCAGCCTCAGAGCCAGTGACTGTATTTCTGTCTCCATGATGCATTTGCTTATTTGCTCACTTTCATTCTACAGATTTTTTTTAAATGATACTTTATTACTCACAGTGCCTTCTCCATGCTAGGTACTATACCTGTTTGTCAGGAGACAAAAGGTTAGCAAACTCCTTGGTTCTAATCCAGCCCACTACCTGGTTTTATAACTAAAGTTTTATTGGAACACAGTCATAGCCATTGGTTTACCTATTCTTACTGCAGTGACAGAGTGGAGTAATTGGTGACAGATACCATATGGTCCCTGTATTAGACTTCTCCAGAGAAATAGAACCAATAGGATGTGCCTATGTGTACACAGAGAAAGATTCAGAATTGGCTCTACAGTTGTGGGGGCTGACAAGTCTGATAGCTGCAGGACAGGCCAGCAGGCTGGAGCCCCAAGGAGAATTGATGTTGAAACTTGAGTCCAAAGACTGTTCTGAAGGCAGAATTCCTTTCCCTCATGGTATCCTAATCTTTCTCTCTTGAGACCCTCAACTGATTGCATGAGGCCCACCCACACTGTTTGGGGGAGGGTCATCTGCTTTACTTTCAGACATACTGATTTAAATGTCAGTCACATCTGAAAAATACCTTCACAGCACCATCTGGACTGGTGTTTGGCTAAAATGTGGATACCGCGGTCTAGTTATAGACAGAAAATTAACCAACACCATCCCTCACTAGCTCCTCCAGGTCCAGGCCCCATCTTTGCTGGGTGTGGTGGCTGCACAGAGGAAGAAACCCAGGGTTGTGGCCCCAGGACTCTGTGGCTTGGGAGTGTTTCACAGCATGTCTGCTCCAGATGCTGCTGGCACAAAAAAAGACTGTTGAACCTACTTTTTAGTGGTGAAAAACAAAGAGTTCCAGGTGATGGAAAATTAGAGAGTTATATTTTCAAAACGTATTTATTAGGGGAAATTATACCATATAATAAAGTGGAGAAAGCACATCTAAAGCAGTTTATATAACACAGGATAATTCCAGTTTTGTACAAATACCTATCTGTAATATGTAAACATCTATATTTTATATATATATATATATATATATATATATACATATATATATATATATATATATCCTAAGAAAAAAGCCTAGAAATAAATTCAACAAAATATTAACTAGCATGTTTATCTGACTTGTAGGATTATGGTGATTTGAATTGTATTTTATTTTTTTGTTTTGTCCAAACTTTCCTTCTAAATTGCACTATTGCTGTAATAAAAGCACATTAAAAAAAAAAGTGGGTCAAGTGCTTATAAAAGGCTTCCCCATGAGTGACACTCAGGATGGACAAGCCCTGTTTAAATTGCCTAAAGGGCACCTCGGCAGCGCTGAGCGCCCTCAGCAGGCTCCAGGGAACACACAGCATGGTGTCACTGCCCTGGCCACTGCCGCATAACCGGCCACTTGCCCAGACCTTTAAAGCAGTGAGAACACAAGTCCTGTCCTCAAAGGATTGTGGTGTGTAAATGTTTTAGGAAAAAGCACAGCTCTGAACAAACACCATCACCCACAAAATACATTCTCAGAAGAAGAAAGTTTTAGTGACCGAGCACAGAAGGGGCGCAAAACTAGCAAATTCTTTTGTAATAAAACCAACAGATACCAGTTGTTAAGTAGAATCTGCCTGCAACGCAGGAGACGCAGGTTCAGTCCCTGGGTCAGGAAGACCCCCTGGAAAAGGGAATGCAACTCACTCCAGTATTCTTAGGGGCTTCTCTGGTAGCTCAGTTGGTAAAGAATCCACCTGCAATACAGGAGACCTGGGTTCAATTCCTGGGTCAGGAAGATTTCCTGGAGAAGGGCTAGGCTACCCACTCCAGTATTCTGGCCTGGAGAATTCCATGGACAGAGGAGCCTGGTGGGCTGCCATCCGTGGGGTTGCAGAGAGTTGAACACAATTGACTTTCACCAGTTGTTAAATATTTATACGCCAGAATGGTACTAAATGTTTGTGTACACAGATGATCTTTTTAATAGCTTGGAAGGAGAGAGCCACTATCCTGCTCTACAGAGGAAGAATACCCAGGATTCAAGTCCATTTGGCTTCAAAAATAATGTGCTCTTGTTATGCCTGCTGCCTCTTTTCCTATTTCTTAGGAAATTTTCCAGAACATGTTACTAGCCTACCTTGGTTTGAAACAGTGAACCTGACATGATGACTTGCTCTTGAGGCCAGGATTACATTGCAAATAGCAAAACTTGTGTGTTTCTCCTTTTGCTTTTTTTTCCCCACATCCTCCTTACCTATCAGCTGTCATTGACTTCCCATTGCTGTCAGTGGGTCTGAACTGACCACCTTTATTTTTCTTTCTAGTCTGGCCAGGTAAACAAGCCAGGCCCTGAGCAAGAAAAGGGAAATGGTGGCATCTCTCCTGCCACTGCACCGCTTGGCTGAGCAAAGATAACTCTTGGGATAAAATACATGGGCCTTATGTTCATTTACTACTGTGGCACCACTCAGGGTTTTTCCTATTTGATTTCACTTAGTGACTGGATGGCAAAAGTTGCTGAAGTCTGACTACCAGGTACATAAACAATAACACTTTTTCAGTTGTTCTGGATGAAAAAGCAATATTGCAGCTCCATTCCTGCTAAGCACTGCTTGGCTGGGAGGTGAGGTGTGCTCAGCATCTGCCAACCTTTGGGTAACCAGACAGACATTCCTGGTGTACCCCTAACTAAGCCCATTCCAGTATTCTTTCCTGGGAGAATCTCATGGACAGAGGACCTGACGGGCTACAATCCATAGGGTCACAAGAGCTGAACATGGCTGAACGACTAAGCACACGCACAGGAGACTATCTTTGCTGTTGGGATGAGAAAACTCTTAGGTAAGTACTATAATAAAAATAGGTTCCACCTTATGTGCCAGCTCTGATTCATGATGGCCACCTGAGCTCCACGTTCAGGGTTGCCAGGTTGCCTCTGGGCTCAGTGTGAGACAAGCTTGGCAGACACAGTTTCCCAGGCGGAAGGTCCTTTGCAGATCAAAAAGCTTAATATTACAGATGGGAAATGAGGCCTAGAGGAGGAAGTCACAAAGTCACATCCCTAACATGTAGGCCAGAGCCTAGATCCCTACACTGCTGTGGAGCTCACTGCTTTCCTGTGTCCATGTAGGGGTCTCTTCCGGTGCACTGGCTCCCAGAGCCCTTCCCAGGTCCAGGTAGAGGGGCTGCTGTCCCACAGCCCAGCCCCCTCCTCCACCCCTGCTGTGCTACCGGAGCCCCTCGGGGCACAGAGTGAACTCCCGGGGTGTCATCCTGGGCTGTGCCCCTGGGTTGGGGCGGGCCCAGGATCTGTTTTTAATGATATTTTGGGATTTGGACAGCTGGGTTCTGTCTGCTCCACCAGGTAAAATTACAGGCTTACCAAGTCAGAAATCAAATAAACACTCCAGCTGCTGGTGGCTGCTCCAAGGAGAACAGTGGTTTCCGGGAACCTCCCCACCCAGCTCGGCCTAATTGCCACCTGTCACTCCCCTGGGACACGGGCCTTTTCTTTGGCTCACAGACCCCAAGAAACAGGACGGGACTCTGGGGCACACAGGGTGACGCAGACTTGGGTGACCAGTCTGTTTTTGACAACTTCTGGACACAGGCAGGTGCTGACCAGCCCTGCCCTCGCCCCATGCCTGGCCACAGGCCACCCAGTGTCCCTGGGTGCAGTGAATTGCTCCTTAGCAGGAGAAGGCAGGCAGTTTGCACTCTACATACAACTCTAATCTGTTGGTGGTGGCCACCTGAGTTTGGTGCTGATCACTTTGAAATTCTTTCCAGAGTTGAACAAAAAAATATCAAGGTTGATAATTGATGACTGCCGTGAAGAAAGTTAAGAGAAACTTTGTCACCGTTGCTGGGCATTATCATCCTGGGCCACCCAATGTATCCACCATACTAGGCTCAGCGAAAAGGTAACTTTTTCACAGAGCTAAACTCCTGATTGTTCAACACAGTGACTGACAGATGGGGTCAATAAAGCCCCCAAGATTTTTTGTTTCACCAAAGTGTCCATGCAAGGCACATCTTCCCCAGACAGCAGAGACAGATCAAGGCAGGAGGACAGGGAAGGTAATTGACACTGGCCTTGGCCCTAAATCATGCTATTCATTCAACTCTTTCTGGAGGTGACCCACATGCCTCCTTGTGGCCAACAGTCTGGTCATTCAGGTGCACAAATACAGAAAACTGAAGATGACTCCACGTTCTGAGTGCCCAGAAATGCCCGGTTTTGCACCCGGGAGGGTCAGGCAACTGGAGATGGACCAGGACCTGTCTGCACATCCCCAAACCCAGTCCTGGGTGGTGAAGGGCCTGAGGTGGCCATCTTGGACTCCAGGTGCCTCAGTTCACCCCACATCCGCCCGCAGCTGGGCCAGCAATGGACAAGAGTGGGTCCTCAGACAGGACTCTCTGTCAACCCCAAAGAAAAGGCAGCCTGAGCCTCTGGGGAGGGAGCTGGGGTAGAACCCTGCTGGATGACAGACCACCATGCAGAGTTCCACGAGGACATCAAGCACGCAATGGGGCAGAGGGCCTGGGGAGGACCAGCCCGTTGGAGGATGTGGGCAGGGGAGGGGGGCCCTCACTGCCACCCTGCCTGAGCTGGGCGTTGGGGGCGGGTGTCTCCTGGCCCCCGCGCCCGCGGAGGGCCGGCCGGCGGGGGTAGGGTCTCAGTGGCAGCCGCAGGCGCGGACCACCATGTTGCGGTGCTTGCGCAAGATGACGTTGTTGCTGCTGTCGTAGTAGAGCACGGAGGTGGCGCTCAGCTTGGTGGGCGCACAGCACGCCTTGGGGACCGCGTCCGGCTTCATCAGGTGCACCTGCCGGGGAGGGGGCAGCGGGCAGAGGCGTGAGACCCGCGGGCTCCTCCCGGGACCCCCGTCCCAGCGCCCAGCTCCTGCCGCCTGGGGCTCCGCCGCTGGCCCCTTCCCAGCTCCATTTCCCCCTCGCTCCCCGCCCCCCTCCCCCTCCCCTCTGCCCCCTCCCCCCTGCCCCCGCAGCCCGGCCGGGCAGGTGCTAGCGTCAACTCTGCCTCGGCCCGTCCCCTTGACCCCCGCCCTGCCCACTGCCCTCAGGCTCATACTGAGCATCTGGGGCTCCTGCCGCAGCCCCTCCCCTTAGATGGGACGACCCTGACCCTGCGGGTCCCCCGCACCTGTGCCAGCGCCTGCCTGGCGCCGCTGCAGCACCGCCTCCCCCTCCCCCATCCCCTCTGCTCTTCCTCCGTCCCTGGTCGCTTCTGTAACATCCCTGATCGTGTCTTGGCTGCATGAGCCGTTTCTGGTCCATCCGCCCCTCCAGACTGGGAGCCGGTGAAGGTCCCTGTTACACCTCTTAATGCCCAGACTTCCAGGCTCACCCTTGGGGTGTCCGACACCATTGTTTCTCAAAGCACCTCCACTCCCGTAACTTCCAGGCTGGGACTGTTCTGGGCGGATGACCGCTGGGGGCACAGGGGCTGAGTCACCTGCACAGTTGCTTGGCTGGGCCAGGAGTGGGCAGAGGGCCGGGAGTCCCTGCTACCCTCCTGCAAACAGCTCTTCTCCTAAAAACAGCCCATCTGAGGAAACTGGGGCAGCCTCTACACAAGTGTTTAGGCAGAGACTCGGCAGGATGAGCTGCAGTTCATACTGGACTCCTCCTTAGGGCGCCACAGGGACAGGCCCTGAAGGCACCCCAGTGAGTGGGGGCCTGAGAGAAAAGGGAACCTGCATCCATCCACCGGACCTCCCAGCCCTCACTGAGGCCAATGAGCAGGACCAGGATGAAGCTGTCTGACTGGGGGGGGGGGGGGGGTGTCCTGTCCAGCAGCTTGGCCTGGGGTCCCCAGAACCCAGCCTTGTCTTGGGAGTCCCAGCTCGGAGCCAGCCTGCTGCCAGGACTGTCAGCCAGGGCCCAGAGCCTCTCTGAGGCCCCAGGGGGAGCTGAGGCCTCTGTGGGGATGTCCAGCCAGATGTCCAGTACTGCTCCCCAACTTCCCAGCCTCCACCTGGGGTGGCTGGACTCCACTTGCATAGGCCCACATGAAAGAAACCAGGTGACACTGCCCACCTGTGCCAGCCAGCCATGGGGCTCTAAGTAGCTGGAAACCTGGGAAGGCCTTTCCTGGGTTGGGACCCTCAAGAGAGGGGTAGGCACCACAGGGGTGCAGCTGTTCTGGAAGTCCATCCTGGACCAGCTTCACCAGGTGATCGACAGAGAGGACGGTCTTTGCCCTGTCTACACCAAACAGACTGACCTGAAGCCTAATTTGCCTTTCCATTCAATTCACTTTAGAACCATGTGGGAGACCAAATCAGAGGCTCTGTAACTTATCGCCTGTGCATCCTTGGGAAATAGTCATGCATCTGTGGGCCTCAGTTTTCTTCTCTGCCAAATGGGTATAATGGTATTTTCCTCCCTTCCAACACAAATGTATTTCACATGCCTTGTGCCAACCCTACCCAGGTGGAGAATACAAAAGTGTCCCAGACATGGTCCCTGCTCTCATCCTCAGCAGGAGAGGAGGGGAGACAGGAACATTCCAGCAAACACCCAGGACCCAAGAGCAGCACAAACACAGTAGCCGTCCTCGCTCTGGGAACATGAGCACTGGAGACCAACGCTGGCTGGGAAGGACCCAGAGACAAGGCAGCAGGGTGAGCAGCAGGAGGTGCTCCGTGGCGAGGAGGCCCTGGGCAGAGGCAGGGAGGTGCGGGCACTGGGACGTGGGCTGGGGGACGCTGGGGAGGTGGGTAGGCCAGTAAGGGGCCCTGAGTCACAAGCCAAAGGCTCAGACTTCTCCCCACGGATAAGGGATGCCACAGGGGGTTTCCTGGTCCAGAAGGAGGTGGTCACATTTGTGCTTTAGTGCCACCCTCTAGCTGTTCCCTCGTGTGGAATGTGGCGGGTGAGGCTGGAAGGACCCACTTCCTCCTCGTTGGCCCCAGGACACCCCAGCCACCATCTCACCCCCCTCCCTCCCACCCAGGCTCCCCTTCCTTCCCAGGCCTCTCCAGGGAGGAGGCCCATCCTCGCCCACCTCTCCCACCTCCGCTGTCCCCCCAGAAAATCTCTTCTGCTCTCACAACTCGGAGACTCCAGATTTGCAGCCCCCCCAACTTCTCATGTAGGGTCCTGCTGGGTGTCACACACATGGGGGTGGAAGCAGAACCGCTGATTCCCTCCAATCCTTTCTTCAACCCAGCACCTTCGCTGCCCCCTCCTCGTCCTGGGGGAGGGTCTCACCTGGAGGCCTGGGCTCCTGCCCTCCTGCCTCCACCGTCCACTTCTCACCCCACCAGGTGCCTGGTCCTCCTGTCAGGACCATAGCAGCTCCTCACTCCTCCCTGCCTCCTCCACCCTCGACGTCATGGTCTGTCCTCCTGCAGCAGCCAGAGATACTTCCAGAGAGTGCCCAGGTCATGCCCTGCTTTTCTGAAACCTGCTGCACCCCTCAGTTTACTTGGGATTAAATCCACCACCTGCCACCTTAGGAGGAACCCCGGGACAGGCCCTGCCCAGCCCAACACCACCTGCCTCCGTCCTCCTCCCCTCCAAGCCAGGGTCCTTGAGCCCTCCCAGCTCACCCCAGTCTTCGCTTCCTCAGGGGACCCATCGTGTTGCCTGTCCCTTTCTTCTCGTGTTCACTGACAGCCTCCCCCGAGGGCAGCCACTGCCTTGACAGCACCTAGCACAGAGCTAGCGCTCCCTCCTGCTGACTGACAGCTCGGGGACTGAGGGGCGGGGCTGCTGCAGAGCCCGGGGACCAGTCCTGGGGGGGCAGTGCCGTCATCACCCCGTGCCCCCCTCACAGGGCAGAGAGAAGCCCACACACCCTCATCACCCCTGAGATTCTGCAAGGAAGGCGGCTCCTGGGGGAGGGGGTGTCCGGCAAACCCCACGTGACCACCAGGAAAGGAGGCATCACCGGGGGTCCAAGCTGCTTTCTTAACTCACTCACTCACTCTGTGGCATCACCTTGAACAGCCTCTAACTAGAGTGCCCAGGTCAACATTCTAGAAATAAGCCTCAGTACACATACACACAAAAACCACTGCAAACACTTAGCAATAAGCAGCCTCAACCATGTTGCTACTAGAAACTTCCAGCATTTAAAGTTACCCCAGATACCAGGGCATCAGAAGCCCTGAGATCTGTAGAAACACAAAGAGTGAGAGGGACCTGGAAGGAAAAGGAGAGGAACGGGAGGGGCAGCCGAAGCCAGAGGGCACAGGGCGCCCCGTGGGTCTCCTGCGGGAAGAGAGGACAGAGCGTTCACGTGTGTCGCCCAGCCAGACCCCCGGGGTGTGTGTCCCACACAGGAGGCCACACTCAACAGTGACCACAGTGCACATGTGTGTCCCTAGGGCACAGGTGGGCGTGTGGGACGCCACCTGTCCTGAACGTGCTGTGCCTCTGACCACCAGCAGGCAGGCCCACCCAGTGGACGTGAATGCCCCCATGTGCACGTGGAGTGCACACGTGTGTATGTGTGCACACCAGTCAGCAAGAGCCTGCTGCACGCTGTTCAGGTGCATGGGAGGCAGGGTCTCCATACAGAGTGGCCACACTGGGACCGGTCTCCCTACAGCTATGGGATTTCACTGCACGTGCAGGCAGGAAGGTCTCCATGTGAAGAAGGCTCCCTGACACGGCAGTGCCACCATCACCTCCTGGCTGCACGCCCCCCTCCCGAGGGCGAACCCCTCCCCCGGGGTGTCCGGGCAGGAGGGCGCGGTACTGACCAGGGACTGCAGGATGGCGTGGTTGGTGGCGTTCATGCAGGAATCCAGCGGGAAGGAGCACTCCCCTTCACAGTAATAGGCTGAGTAGCCTTGAGGGGCGATGACCCAGTCCTGGGAGGTAATGGGAGAAGGTGAGTTCCATCCATGCGCCCTCCCAGCTTTTCATCCAGCACCTGTCACAGCACGACTCAGGGCTGCCCCCTCCCTCCCTCAGCCTCAGGACACCTCCCAGGGCAGAGTGTCCCCCCTACCAGGCCAGACATCCACCAAAGTCCCTCGGTGGGCAGAGCTGGGCACGAGCTCCATCCCCTTCACGCGCCATCAGTGCTCAGCTGCGTCCTCCCCCGCCACCCCGGTCACAGCCCCCCCAGAGGCACAGCCCACCCTGGCCTCAGCTTTCATGCTGCAGCTCTGACATTTTACAGCTGAGGACACGGTCTCCATATTCATGGTTTTACAAAACAGCACTTTTCACTATCAAAGCAACACATTCTCCCTTTAGATAACTTGGAAAACAGAGGAAAATAAAGACAATCCAAGTTCTCTGTGGGTCTGCCTCCCCTGGGACACACTTGGGGTCTCCAGGTGGGGACAGTCGTTTAGGAAAGAGGAGAGTCGGCACTCACCAGCCAGCCCAGGTCCTGGAAGCTCACGTACAGCTCGTGCCGACGGCACACCTGCCGGCCGTGGGAGCCGTGGACATCATCTGCGGGGACACAAGGGGCAAGGACTTTGCTGGGCTGCTGCCAGGGCGGGGGACGCCATGACGCGCACATTTGTTGAATAATAAATGGTGGGAAACTGACCCATTTGGTCTCGTGAAGCCCAGGTCTGCATCTCTGCTGGTGCCATGACCCAGTTCGAGAACTTTCGATGGCTCTCTATGGTTGCGGTACCCCACACTCAGCCCAGCCTCCCCTGACTTTCAGCCTGTGGGGTCCTGATAATCCAGTCAAAGCCCTGGGGGCCCTCGGCCATCCAGGGGCCCCTCCTCCTCTCCCCCGGAGTCACCCCGACCTCCTCCGCCTGTCCTGCCATGCCCATTCCACAGGACAAGTGGCTCCCACTGAGGCCAGGCAAAGGCTGGCTCCCGTGGGGGAAGGGCCCCTGGTGGCCTTGACCCGGCGGGGCTCAGCCTGGTGGGGTGACCTCACACACACACCTGGAGCAGCCCGGGGCAGCACCGAGGCCCGCAGGGGCCCCTGGTTCTGACAGAGACCAGGGCGAGGCCTGCTGAGCCCCCGAGGGCAGAGAAGGGACTCTGGGGCGGTGCGGGCAGCAAGGGTGGATGCTCAGAGCCCCGGAGACTGTGGGGGCGTCGCTCCGCAGGGGCAGGGCAGAGGGTGTCAGCAAAGGCGGCGGGGTGACCGTCGGCCTGACCGCGCTGAGGCCAGAGGGGCTCCGTCCCCGCCTCCGTCCCCAGGCTCACCGAAGATCCCCGGCAGTTTGTTCGGGGGCGGAAGCTCGTTGGTTCTTTTCGGCGGCCTCCTCTTCAGGGGCCTCACCGCTCGAGGGGCTCGGGCGGGGCCCGGGCCGGGGCTCGCCCTGAAAAAGGTGACCACGAAAGGCTGTTTGGAGCGCGGAGCCTGTCGCCCCAGCAGACCGGCCAGGCCAGGATCCACGCTGCGCCCTGAGATGGAGAGAGCAGAGAGGGGTCACTCGGGGGCGGGCGCTGCGCGGGGACACAGCGGGGACCTCTCTGTGGGCGGGCCGGGGGCTCCAGGCTGAGACCTCGGGGCACCCACTGGGCCTGGGTTTCTGCCTCTGAAGACCCGGGTCCCCAGTCCAGCCCCAGCCCCACAACCTCCCTGCCCGCTCTCCCCCAGCCCCCTGCCGGGGCGGCGAGGCCACGGGGTCAGGGAGGGGCCTCGCGAGCGCAGGGTCAGGATTAGTGATGACTGAGGGCGTCTCTGGTGCTAACAGCGCTTTTCAGACTTCAGTCAGTTCACGTGAGGCTCTCAGCTGGTCTTCACGGTGACCCTGGACCCATCATTTCACCAAGAAACAGAGCTGCTCAGTGACAGCCCACAGCCCCACTGCCGGGGACTCTCAGAACCAGGGTCAAACCTCCATCGTGGGGCTCTAGCTCCCACCCCATCCTACATCCTACATCCTGGGGATCAGTGTAGGATTTACAGTGCTCACTGGGGAAAGGGTGGGCTCAGTGCTTGCTCTGCTGATACCGCCCCCTAAAGCCCCCAAAGGAGACCCCAGGCTCAGCAGGCAGAGACATTTACTCCAAGTCCCAGAGTTGGGTTCAAACACAAGCATCTAATCCCAGAGCCCAAGTTCTTGTCCACTTATGTTCTTAGCCACCAGGTCTCTGGTTTAAAAAGGAAGAAAGAGAAAAGGCTGCAGGCAGAGACACAACTGGGGCTTTAGCCTCGAAGCAGTGATGCTTGTAAAAGCGGAATTTTACCCACATCCGCTTAGAGCCTGAGGATGCAGGAAAAACACACTGATTATCCCTGGAAAAGTCGACTCCACCAATAAAACTATCTTCCTGTACCTCTTTGTATTCCCAGTGACCTCTTGCTTTTTAATTGTCAAAGTGATATAAAAACAATTGTAAAGAAACTTAGAAAAAATATCACCCATAAGACCCCTTCCGCACTACAATACACCATTTTCACTTTTTCTAGGCTTTCGTTTTTCATGTTAATTTAAATTGTGAGCATAGTGCTGCAACTGCTGAAGCCCGTGTGCCTAGAGCCTGTGCTCTGAAACAAGAGAAGCCACCAGTGAAATCCTCAGGCACCACAAGAAAGAGCAGCTGCACTAGCCGCAACCAGAGAAAGCCCATGCACAGCAACAAAGATCCACATAACCGAAATAAAAAATAGTTTCTAAAAAAATTTTCCGCAAAACAAAGAAGTCCGTATTTTTTCCCCAATTTTTCCACCTAAACATTTTCTCGGTTCTTAAGTCTCAACTATGAACGTTTCAAATATATAAAATTCCTTTGAGTAGATCTGAATATTTAGATATTAGTTCATCTTTAGACATTTAGGTTATTTCCTGGCTTTCATCATAAAGATGAGAATGTCTTTTCCTTTTCCACAAAGGGAAAATGTCATTTCCTTTCCTGATGGGATTTTCTCAGACTAAACAACAGGGATGTGACTACAAGCTCACTGCCACATTTCTTAAAACACAAGGCAGAGCATCCCATTTCCACATACATTTCACCCCAATATTGCAACACCGATGCACAGGCATGTACACACGTGCACATAAATGTATGTGTACACATACACACACACACAGGCGTGTTGATATGAAGCAAGTGTACACATTAGCGGGTCAGTCTCATGATCTCCACTGCACACGACATGTCAAGGACATTGCCTGCCCCATACACAACTTACCTCAAAGGTCATCCCTTACACCTCTGTACTTTATGCCCAAGTCCAGGGGCCAGAGTTGACTGAACAACCAACTGACCAGAAACTAACCTTTGACCTATGACATCACCTGCCACAACATGCACTGGGCCCATCAGAGGGCTCAGCAGAGATGACCCTGCTGAGACAGGAGCCGACACTGAAGGGGCCCAGGGAGAAGCCGTTCGGGGAGTTTGGATCATGGCAAGTGAGGGACACAGGAAGAGCCGGCCCGTGAGGAGGCGAAGCCACAAGACACACAGCAGCCCCTCCTCAGAGGGAAAGGGCCCGAGGCACCAGGAGGTGGCCAAGGAGTGACGCAGGCAGGCGGACGGCTGTCGGCCACGCGGCAGTGGAGTGGAGCTCCACGCCCAGCGGACATGTGGGGTGGCCTTGGCCCAGCAGCCCTCCGGGCCTGTGTGCGCAACCCCGGGCCTATGAGTCCCTGGAGAGCCCTGTCCACGGACGGGCCAGGGAGACTTTAAGTGCCCCGAGGCTGGGCCCATTGCAGGCTTTTCTTTGTGCGACTGTCTGATACTGGGGTCTCCTGGGCGCAGAGAGGTGGGGTCACAGGGCAGGCCTGGGCTGTCCAGGTGGTGGCCCCCAGGCCGCCTGACTCTGGCAGGACCCTTTCGAGAAAGCAGAGCAGGAACTCCAGGAGCCTCTGGGGCCCAGAGTCCCCACTCTAGACCTGAGCTGTGAGGGTGCCGGCAGGCACGCCGTCCCTCTGCAGGGGACGAGGGTGTGTGGCCACGCCTGGAGATGGGGGCCACTGTGGCCTTCCCTCCCCCACTGCAGGCACAGATGAAGATGCTGCTCTTCTGGGCCAGGCGGGCCCCCGACACGTCCAGCCTCCTCCCATGTCTGAGTCTTCCCCATCAGGACCCGGGTGTCATGGCAGCTCTCCTGCCCGTCCCATCCCCGGGGACTCAGCCCCCGCCCCCTGGGCCAGGCCAAGGTCGCTCCCATCCGTCCCCAGGCCTCTTTCTGCCCTGGGTGCCACCTGACCCTCCCTGCAGCCCCTGCCCCCTTCTCAGCCTGCAGTCATGGGTGTCCACGTTGAAGGACAGTCAGGACGCCTGGGGACCCTTGGAGGGAAACCAGCTGTGACCAGGCGTGCTTTTGTCTCGCAGGTTGTTTCCTCGCCAGGAGAACTAGGAACGCAGTGCTTTTCCTTCTTTCTACTGTTGACCAGCCCTCTCACTGCTCTGCTTCTGGAAACCTCTGCCTGTCCTGGCTGCTGCTGGAAGACCTCTCCCGACACCCAGGGCACGTCAAGTCCTCGTCTCCAGAAGCCCCGGAAGGTGCTGCACCGTCCACCCGGTGACGCCCATCCCCTGCCCGCCTGGTGACGGTCCCCTGACACCCCGTGGCTGTCCCTTCAGGGGCGCTGTCTCCACTTCAGGATCTGGGCCTCCCGCCAGGGTGAGGCTCCAGGGAGGCCTCTCCGAAAGGCCTTCCTTGACCAGCTGGAGCTTCGTGTTCTTACCCACGAGCTCTGTGCAGCCCTAGGGCCTCACTGAGAAAGCCTGAGCTCCACGGCAGGCCTGAGTTTGAACCCTAGACACACACACACACACACACACACACACACATTTTTTTCTGTTTAGCTTGTGAGACTATGGATTCAGGATGAAGTACCTCTCTGCCTCTCTTGAGTTTCAAGGGAGTATGAACAAAAGGCTGGTTTAGGCTGTGACAGAAAGGAAGGGTCCAGTGTCTGATCTGGATGATCTGAGATGAGAAAACCCACTGAAGTCCATCTGTCAGGTTTGTAGATCCCTCCCATCCTAAGCCAAAGCCTTTGGAAGCACATGGCTGGACTGTTTATTCAGAGGAGACCACCCTGCAGAACATTAGCACTCACAGTCTCTCCCCCTTCAGTTGCCCCTATGACCAGTTTACTGGCTGCCTAGACATTCCCTTCTAGAGACATATACTTAGCTACAATAAGCAGAAATATGGGGGGCAGAGAAGGTGAGGCTACAATGAAAACAAACTTTAGGGACAAAATGAAAGGTCCAGAAGGAAAGTCAAAGGGGCCAAAGGAAAAAAAAGTCATTCTTTAAGACAGCATTTCTCCTGATCACAAATTCACATTTACATGTGTATGTTTTCATGGTTCTAGGAAACTCCAGACACAGATTCTGGGTGGATTTGTTCCTCCCCCGTCACTTTCCCTATGGTTCATGATTCATTCATACCAACAGGCACTTCAATGAAACCCTTTCTATGGGATCATCTCAAACCGCATAGAATTTAATGTAAATATAACAGACAGTGAGGAGGGCGATGGGAGCAGAGCTTTCTCAGAATTCACAGGACATACAAGGTCAACGTCTTTACTTTCCTTTGGTTTTTAATTAAAGGCACATCTCTCCTGAGAGAACAAAGCCTATCCAGGGGCAGCCAGCCTGGGATGGCAGGACAAAGCTGCCAGATGCTAGTGAAATGTACAATTGTGACTGTGGCTTCCTTGGAATGCAGTCCTGGGAGGTGAAGGCAGAAGCACACACTCTGGGACTGAGGTTCACTCTCGGGCTACATTTTGACCTGCTGCATGGGTCTGAGATTCGGGGAGACGGCAAAGGGGCTCCCCGTGCTCTTTTTGATGTCCTCCACGGTTAGGCCGTCCCAGAGCTCAATCAGGGTCAGTCCTGTCTTCTTGTGCACGTCAAACACGGCCTTCTCGGTGATGATTCGGTCCACGCACCGCTTCCCAGTCAGCGGCATGGTGCACTTCTCCACGATCTTGGGTTCGTTGGCCTTGTTGCAGTGCTCCATGGTGACCACCACGCGCGTCTTGGAACTGGACACCAGATCCATCGCACCCCCCATGCCTTTCACCTTCCTGCTGGGTATCATCCAGTTAGCCAGGTCACCATATTTGGAAACCTGCATGGCTCCCAGCAAGGTCAGGTTGATGTGTCCCCCCCGAATCATGGCAAATGACTCATCGCTAGAGAAAAAGGAGCCCCCGGGAAGAAGGGTGACTGTCTGCTTCCCCGCATTGATGAGGTCCGCGTCCACCTCCTCTCTTAATGGAAAGGGACCCAAGCCCAAGATCCCGTTCTCACTGTGAAGGTGCACGGTGATGTTGGGGCTGATGTAGTTGGGGGCCAGGAGAGGGATGCCGATGCCCAGATTGGCGTACATGCCGTCCTCAAATTCAAGAGCTGCCCGCTTGATGATCCGTGTCCTTATGTTATCTGAAGACTTGCATATTTCATCATCCTCTTTTCGGACGGTTAAGCGCTCAATTCTTTTCTCATATTTTTCCCCCTGTATTATGCGATCTACATAAATGTTAGGAACATGGATGTCTTCTGGGGCAAAGGACCCCACGTCCACAATTTCTTCAACCTCCACCACGGAGGTTCTGGCAGCTTTGCACATGGGCACGTTGAAGTTCCTGGCACTGCCCCTGAAGATGACATTCCCTGCCCAGTCGGCCTTCCAGCCTTTCACCAAAGCAAAATCAGCGGTGATGGCATGCTCCAGCAGGTAGTGCTGCCCATGAAACTCCCTCACCTCCCTGGGCTGGCTGAGGATGGCGATGTGGCCGTCTGGTAAGTACCTGATGGGTGCCCCTCCCTCCTGGACCAAGGTCCCGTAGGCTGTGGGGGTGTAGAAGGCGGGCACACCGGCGCCCCCCGCGCGGATGCGCTCAGCCAGAGTGCCCTGGGGCGTGATCTCCAGCTCCAGCTCGCCTGCCAGGTACTGGTGCTCACAGAGCGAGTTCTCCCCCAGGTAGGAGCAGATGATGCGGGTGATCTGCTTGGTCCCCAGTAAAAGGCCGAGACCGAAGTTCTCTACCCCCACGTTGCTGCTGACCACTGTCAAGTCCTTCACGCGGGTCTTCAGCAGCGCCCCTATCAGGTTCTCCGGGATCCCGCAGAGCCCGAAGCCTCCGATCATGATCCTCGAGCCGTCAGTGATGTCTCTCACGGCCTTCACCGGGTCCGTGTAGAACCTGGCGCGCGCGCGGGCGCTGCAGAAGCCGCACGGGCCACCTTTGGCCAACGCGCGCCCCGAGCGGCCGGCGGAGACCCGCCGCCTGAGCACAGACGCCAGGAGCCGCAGAGCCGCCATCGTCCGCTCCGCTCCGGCTCGGGCTGCGGGCCCAGCGGGGACAGGCGGGGACAGGAGGCAACCGTGCGTCCCCGCCCGCACGTCACAGAGCAGGGGGCGCCCAGCCGTGAAGCGCCCGCCCGGCTGGTTTCCGCCGCTCCGCTCGGTCTCCGCGCTCCGAGGGCCCGAGGGGCCGGGGATCCAGGTCTGGTCTGGAGGTAGCTCGGAGACCGCAAGGCGACGTCCCTCCCGGGAAGCCTGGGCGTCGGCTTCCTGCCCTCGCCATCGTCACCCTTCCTCCCAGGAGCGCTACTCCCGTCGCCCCCCACTCCCCACAACCCCAAATCCACCTCTGGGTCACGGGCTCCAACACCTGTGTCCCCAGCACTCCTGGTCCTGGAACATTTCCACGGATGTCTAGTCAGACCTCAACGACACCGCCGCCGAAAGAGACCTCTTGCCTTCCTGCCTCAAACCTGCTCCTCTGTTTTTCCCCAACTCGGGCAAGAACACCACCAAACCTGTTAAAAAGAGCCACTGGCTCAGTCCTGTCACCTGTGTCTTCTCCAAGCACCCTCCTCCATTCACGCTGGACAAGCTCCCCCACCCCCAGTTCCCACCTCGACCCTGTGAGGCTCTGGGGCCTCTCTGACTTCACTTTCGTCCCCCAGAGTCTACTCTCCCGACTGAAGTCAGGGGGTCTTTATTTACCTAAGACAAATGAACTTTTCATTTTACCATAGTTGAGATTCATAGACAATACACCAAGATAGTACAGAGAGTTCTCATACACTCAGACCAGGTTTCCCCTGGGAAGTGTTAACATTTAAACAACTATAGTACCTTTGTTACCCACTCAATGGACATGAATTTGACCAAACTCTGGAGAGAGTAGAGGACAGAGATCTGTGGGCTTCAGTCCATGGGGTTGCAAAGAGTCAGACACGACTTAGTGACTGAACGATGTTTGTTACAACTAATGAACCAATACTGGTGTCTTATTATTTACTAAACACCATGACTGACCCGAGTTCACTAGTTTCTCTAGTGTCTTTTTCCAGGATCCCACCCAGGGTCCTACATAGCACTTAGTCATCACAACTCCTTATGCGCCTATGGGCTGTGAATTTCTCAGATTTCCTGTGGTTTTTGATGACCTTGACAGTTTTTGTATTTGTATTCTGTGGCAAGTTCTTCAGTTTCAAGTTGTCTGGTGTTTTTCTCATGGTGAGACTGGGGTTCTGGGTTTCAGGGATAAAGACCACGGAGGTAAAGGGTTCTCATCTTGTCTGGGAGCTACATGAGGTGTTCATGGGAGCCCGAGCGCCTGGCTGAGAGGGTGCTGCTGAGTTTTCTGAGGTTCCCCCGTAAATTAAATTTACTGCCTCAGCCTGTGCATACTTTGGAAGCAGGTCACTAAGTGTAACCCACACTGAAGGAGAGGGAGATGCTACAACCGCCGTGCAGGGGAGCATCTCAGAGGGTTGTTTTATAAAAAGCCGAATCAGATCCTGCCATCCTCCATTGCTCTTACATAAAATAATACTGATTTCATACTTCATATTTTGACCACTTCTTTCCACCTCCTCACAATCGCTCCCTGGCCCCCCATGCCCCAGCCATGGCGGCCCCTTACTGCACTTCAGACACACCAACCGTGGGTCCACCTTCAGGTTTTCTAGTCGTACTGCCGGGATAAAAGACGTGCTCAAACACGTGCTGAATGAATGAATGAAGGCATGAACCCTTATTTTACAGATGAGGAAACTGAGGCCTGGAAAGGCAAGCAACCTGCCCTTCTGCTGTGCCACACTGAGGGACCCTCACCCTCTACCCACTGGGTCCCCTCGCCTGAGAAAGGCCAGGCCTCGGGGCCAAGTGAGGGCGCTCCAGCTGTGTCTGCTGCCAGCAGCGCCCTTGGAGGGCCCGCAGGGGGAGGTCCGGCGCTGGCCCGTCTTACCGTCATCCGTCTCCACATAGAGGCGGAGTCCCAGGTCCTCGTTACGGGTCAAGAGCCAGCGGTCACTGGCTGCTGTCACGTCCAACGCCAGCCAGCCCTCGTCCCCAGATCGGAGCGTCTGAAGATCCAAAAAGAACAAGTCAGACTCCCTGTGGACACGAAAGAACAATTAACCGAGGGCCGGCACAGCTGCCTTTGTGTTCCAGTGCCCGCCGGGGGACCATGAGCGGGGCATCTACCCGCCTGGCTCTGGGCTGGGTGCCTTCCAGGCCTTAGTTCACCGTCTACTCTACAAAGGTGTCACAGAGCCTGTGTACAGATGGGGAAACTGAGGCTCAGGAGTTCAGTGACTCATCCATGGTCCCACAGCCAAGACAGCAAGGCGGGGACCTGAATCCAGAGCTGATGCTGGCCTGTCCCCATGGTGACACGAGGCCTTGGGCCAAACATCTTCTCTGAGGGTGGGCTGCCCAGGAAGCTCCCCTCTGTCTTCTGGGAAATGCACCCCAGGCCTGGACCAGACACTCCGACAGAGGCTTGAGCGGGTGTGTAGGGGGGTGTGGGGCAGGCACCTGTTGGACTGCTCCGGGACCACCTCGAACATGCTGATGTGGAGTGTCTGGTTGAGCGGGTGGGTGCTGGGCAGCTTGTAAATCCGGAACTCCGCGGCTGTGACGGCCTCCCCGGCCGGGATCTGAGTCAGGTCAAAGCGGAACTCCTTCCAGTGGGGCTCCTGGTGGCCCAGGGCGGGGTCACGCTCCACTGCAAGGCAGAGCGGGGCTGGTGGTCACTCGTGGTTCGGGCTCGGGCTCCAGGATGGGAGCTGGGGGCCTGGGCAGTCTAGGCAGGTCTGACTGCCTCCTCGAGAAAAGGCTTGTCCCAGCTCTGCCTCCTGGGTGCTCAGAGGGCCCCAAGAGCTGTGTGGTGAGATGCCTGGCTCAGCACCCGGCACGTGCGGTGCCACAGGGCAGCGTCCACGGCTGGCCCCCGAGCCCCAAACCCGGCCTGCCCCACTCAGCATCCTGCTGGACCCACAGATGGAGTACAGGACAGGTCCCTCCTCTGGCGAGACAGGTAAGACCCAAGGCTGAAAAGAGACGTAGCTGAGTGCACTTGAGTGGGACGAGGGCTCCCAGAGCCTGCTGGTGTCTGGATGGCAGGGGAGGGGAGATTGGGTGTGTAGCTGACTTCGGAGATGGGCCTTGGGGGTGAGAGTGGATGTGCCATGACGTCAAGGGAGAGAAAACCATAGCGCCAGGGACCAGCATGAGCAATGGCCGAGAGCTGAGGGACACTGGCCCCAGCAGGGAAAATAGTAGCCGTGACACCCAGCAAAGGGTGAGAGGAACAAGCGGAAGGAGGAGGGGGACCTGAGGGAGATGAGGAAAGGACCAGAAGGCGAGGTAGGATGACAGCTCCCAAAGATGCTGTGTCAAGTGCGGGGGAAGTTGAAGGGTCCCATGGCGTGATCTGAGGGGGCTTCCTGGAGGAGGTGACATCTGAACTGGCCTTGAAGGACAAGAAGGAGTCTTGGGAGGACAGGCTTTCTAGGCAGAGGGGACTGCTACGCACAGGTGTGCAGAGCTGGGGCTCGGGGTGTGAGTCTGGCTGTGGCCTAAATGCGAGGGCTGGAATCCTGGCCTCGGAGCGTGGGCTGTGCTTTGACCAGTGGAGGGCCAGGGTTCTGGGCAGCAGGGAGCTGTGGTCTGAGGGTGGAGTGGAAGCTGTGTGTGGAGGAGAGGGTAAAGCCCAGACTGCAGGGACCCGAGGCGAGCTGGTGGCGCGGCTGCTCTCACAGTCTGGGCAGGAGACCGCAGGAGTGGAGTAAACCCCACATTTCCCCAGCTGCCGGAAATGCCCAGGACAGTATATTTAGGGCATCTCACTTTAGCCTCCTGTCACTTTCAAACACTAAAAATCTGTGTTTCCACAAAGCAGGGGCGGGAGCCGCCCTAAGCCTTCCCCTAAAACCAACACTGAGATTTTAATTACATGTTTGTGAGTCTTTTTAAAAATTCTCTCTCTGGCTACTGGACTCAGCGACCACAAGTCACCAGGCTGGTGGTGGAGGAGGATGTGGGAGCACTTCCTGTCCTCGCGGTGGGGACCTGGTCCAGGGATGGGCAAACAGCTGTGCTGGGTGGGGCTGGTGGACACACATGTTTGGGAAGGAGATGGGCTTTTCATCCCCAGACCAGGGAGGAGGGAACAGGACCTCCATCGTCTGTCGGGGGCTGGACCCACAGCAAATGCCCACCCATGGGCCAGGCTGTTTCGTGGGCAGTGTGACATGGGCAGATCCAGGTCCTTCCACACAGGCAGGATGTGGAGGGCAGGGTTCTGGACCTTTACTGAGTGATGCTCACTATGAATATCACCACATGAGTCCCCTCCTCCCTACAGACACACACACACAGCTTTGGGGACAATTTCCATGGATTAGATAACTGCAGAGACCACCTCTGTTACATGGCTATGGCAACAGCCCTGATCTGCAGGATGAAATAGGTCCAGGCTGTTAGCTGTTCCAGGGAGTGACCCTGAGAATGAAAAGGGGTCCCCCAGCCATGCCCTGTGCCGGACCCCTCTCAAAGCATCCTTGAGTGTATCTGCCCCCAAGGCACAGAGGGGGCTGACAAGTGGGTCCCTGGGAACCTGTCTGCAGGCCTGACACTGACTCATGTTGGATCCAGGACTGAGGGAACCACCAGGAACCGGCCAGCCCCACGGACACCAAGCTCCGCGGTCTCCGCATCCTTTGCTGACCTGGGGGCCCACATGTGCTGGGTCCAGAGAGCCCTGTTCCCCTGGACTGACCTCAGCTCCCAGCTTCTGTGCTGTGGGTTTGTGAAAGCGATGCCCACCCAACCCCCACCCCATAGTTCCCGCACAGGAAACTACCTGCCCCAGCTATCTCAGGCAAGCACTAGCGGTGGGACATTTTTAGGAAAATGATTTTCATTAGAAATTGGCTAGGGTTAGGGTTAGTGGGGAAGGAGGGAGAGGCCACTTTGGATTTGCAGCTTTTTCAGTGCCTGTGGCCTTGAGTTAGGAGAGAGATTTTTCCAAAAGTTGGTGTTCTAAGAAAGCATTTTTCTGGCACCTCTCTATTCGCCTTGTTAACTGTGCAGACCAAGCCTACTTCGGCCATTGAGGCAGCCTAAGGCAGCCCAGAGGGCTCTGGCCAGGGGTCAGGGCTTCGGTGCAGGCCTGTCCCTGAACTAACCAGGAATGGACATTCCCCTCTAGACCTGGTCTCCTCCTGTGTGAACCAAGAATGAGGAAACAGCCCAGCTTTCCTCACGAGGTCATGAAAGGACTTTGTAAACAGTCAGGCAACCGACTGGGAGGAACGGTTGTTCAACAGGAGTTTGGGATGAGCTTGACTTGCATTCTCCTAACTTTGAGTGAAGATGTGAGAGGCCATGTCAGCAGTTCCAAGGCCAAGGGGTGGAGGGGAAGGGGAGATTTTGAGTGATTGTTTTCTAAATAAATGTACTCACCATTCATTTATTAATCCATTCATTTATCAAGTTCAATTTATAAACAAATTTATCAAGTTCTTACTGTGTGTGAAAGCATACTGTTCTGAGCACTGGGAACACAGCAGTGAACAAGACAGTGCATTCAAGGGGCTTTCCTGGTGGTCCAGTGGCTAAGACTCCATCCTCTCAATGCAGGGGGCCCAGGTACCATCCCTGGTCAGGGACCTAGATCCCATATGTGATTACTAAAGATCCTGGGGCTTCCCCTGTGGCTTGGCAGTAAAGAACCCGCCTGCAATTTTGGAGACACGGGTTTGATTCCTGGGTGGGGAAGATCCCCTGGAGAAGGGAATGGCAACCCATTCTCCAGTATTTTTGCCTGGGAAATCCCATGGACAGAGGAGCCTGGTGGGCTACAGTCCATGGGGTCACAAGGGTCAGATATGACTTAGTGACTAAACCACCACCATGCTACAGCTAAGACCCAGTGCAGCCAAATAAATAAATTTAAATATTCTTTTTAAAAGACGGTGCATTCACAGTGTTTCCAGTCTAATGGGGGAGACAGAATGGAAACAAACAAGACAAGTAAAATAGGAGGTGTCATTTCTATTGTAAGTGAACTACAGAGTGATCTGGGCTCAAGGAATTGGAAGGGGTGGGGGACTTGTCCATGGGTGCTTAGTATGACCTGCGAGAAGGAAATAAGTAAGTGCGGTTGTGCATATTCCCATATATGGTGCTGATAGGAATACCATGGAGAGGACTTTGGCAACATGCTTTTGAAATATCCTGAATTTATCCTTTGACACAAGAGTTCCAAAGACACACTGGGAAAAATGTGAAAGGACAGCCACAGAGCTCTTTACTGGGCACAGGGAGAAGACAGAGCTATGTCTGGCTCCACAGGCACGTGTTTGCTTTCCAAAAATTATAAAAGCTGCCCAAAATGTTCAATCACTGATCCAGCTTTTTTGTCTGGGGTGTCTGCTCCGTTGCTCAGTCATGTCCGGCTCTTTGCAACCCCATGGACTGTAGCCCGCCAGGCTCCTCTGTCCATGGGATTCTCCAGGCAAGAATACTGGAATGGGTTGCCATTTCCTTCTGTCTGCAGAAGCAGCAGCAAATGAATTTACCTTCTGGATCACCTTAATACGGCCCTCCGAACAATGAGCAGTCATGATTCACCAGTGAGTGCTAACTGGAGCCTCGGCCTTTTCCTCCAGCCTCTGATAAACCACCTCCAGGTTGCCCGGCTGAGGGAAGGGCCCTCTGTGGGCAGGAGGCAGCCTCCACCACCATGTCCGCCATCCTCATTCTGCCTTTCCCCTTCTGAGGCCCTGCACCCACCACTCACAGGCTAGAGCTCCAGATGCCACAGCCTATGTCCACCGCCCAAAAGCTACATAGGCTTTGGCTATTTTTGTGCCCTCAACAAAATTTACAGTCACCCGGACAATCTGAATCTTATTTCTGACCAAAGAAGTAAGACTTCAAAAGACACCCACTTCCTCCAGTTTGTTGTGGCTACTAAGAGCCTAGAATCTTCTGCCCTGTCTGACCGTCCTTCCTCAAGCCCTTCCCCAGCCCCTCAGGGCCCACAGGAGGGTCTTAAGCTTGGCTCTGCTTCGAGGCCTCCCAAGCTGGCCCGGCCCATCCTCATGGTCTCCTGGGACTCCTTGAAGAGGAGACCCCTCTTGAAGCCCTCTCTGGGGTTGCCCCACCCCACCAAGCATGAAGGCCATTTTCTTCTCGGTCCAGCTGTAACAGCCCCCTTGCCCTCCCCTGACCCCACACACCAGCCTGCCAGTCTCTCCCTTTCCCCGTCCCGGGGTCCCCATCCCTGGCTCATCTGTCCTCTGGACGGTGACCAGTTTGAGGACAGAGACTGAACAATTGGGTGGAAACGGGAGGCCTCTGAGGTCTGCTCCTCCAGCCCCTCGTGTCCCCGGGGCCCAGAGAGGGGATGTCTGGCCTCCAGCCCCTTGTGTCCCCGGGGCCCAGAGAGGGGATGTCTGGCCCCTCTTCCCAAGGGCTCCTGGTTCCCAGGACAGCGACTCAGTGTCCAGCGTGGAGCCCCTGAACTGGGGCGTCCTGCTGGTCTGGGAGTGGCTTCCAGGTCACCTCGGGCCTCCATCTGAAGCCACCCATGTTCTCACTTCTCTGCGGGACTCGCCTCTGTTCACAGTCCGACAAGGAGGACAGGCTCCCTCGGGGCCCCGGAGGAGAACGGGCTGGGCCTGTCTGGCTGGTCCCACCGGTAACGAGGCCAAGGGG